TAATATCATTATCACATCTAAGTAATATAACATTGATTTAATATCATATAATATATTGTCAGAGCCAAGGGAAAACTTCCCCTTTGCCTTCTGAAGTTTTACTGAAAATCACTGATGAGATAGATTAATAAAAGAAAGAGCATACAAATTTATTTGATCACAGTTGTAGGTGACACAGGCGTCTTCAGAACGAAGACTCAAATATGTAGGGGAAATTGTCCATTTTAATGCTTATGTCCAACATAAGCATGCTGTGTAGAAACATGATTGGACAAAACGGGAAGATTCAGTGTTAATAAACTGAGTGGGAAAACCCAGCAAGGCCTGTCTATTCAGATTCCTGAGCTCTCTGAGAATACGTTCCTTCCTTCTGAGTATGGGGCCAGGTCCCCTCTGCAATAGATATCTCGTGACCTACAGTCAAACAAAGTAGGTCATATAGTTTTTTAATGGGTAGTTTTTGCAAAGAAAGATTGTGGGCTGGCTTTGGGGAAAAGGGGCTCTGGTTTCTATGACCTTCATTGGGGAAGAGGGATTCTCTTTTCCATAACTAGCCTCAAGGAAGAATGGGACTGAGAGACAGGAGGGAAAGAAAAGGTCAGAGAAATAATTTTCCTTCTGAGGCTGCTTCTGAGGTCTTCATCTGGGGGCATTGTTTTCTAATCCCAACAATATCATATTCAAATAGATCATATTCAAACACCTCAATTGTCCCACAAATTTTTTTTCAACTTTTTATTTTCTTTTTTGATCCAAGATCCAAATGGCTTCATGCATTATATTTGCTTGTAAAGTCTCTTTAAATTCCTTTTCATTTAGACTAGAACATTCCCCCTGCTTTTTCACCTCATTCCTTATCACATTTTCTTTTAAACATCTAGGGGCAGGCTGGGTGTGGTGACTCACACCTGTAATCCCAGCATTTCGGGAGGCAGAGATGGGTGGATTGCTTGAGCTCAGGAATTCGAGAGCAGCCTAGACAACATAGCAAAATTCCATCTGTACAAAATATACAAAAATTATCCATATGTGGTGGCATGTGTCTGTAGTACCAGCTACTTGGGAAGCTGAGGTGGGGGGATCGTTTGAGCCTTGGGAGGTCAAGGCTGCTGTGAGCTGTGATCATGCCACTGCACTCCAGCCTGGATGACAGAGTAAGATCTTGACTCAAAAACAAACAACCAAAAACCCCAAAAAACATCTAGGACAGTTATCTTGTAGAATATGCCACAATCTAGATTTTACTAATTACTTTTTCAATCATAATTTGTTTCAGATTTATGTTTATTTAAACCTGAAGCTATTAAACCTAATTTTGGGGAGGAATTGCTACCATGAGCCAAAAATCTTGAAGCTAAACTGCATTGTAAGCTTTCAATTAGACTAAGTGAAGTTATCTAGAACCAAGGTGGGCAAACTGCTGCTTCCGATGGGCCAAATCTGACCCACAAAATTTTGTAAATAACATTTTGTTGGATCTCAGCTACACCATTTCTATGTAAAATATGTAAAAGATCTGGCTGCTTTCTACTTTCCTGCTATGAAGGCAGATTTAAATAGATATAACAGAGACTGTATGGCCTGTGAAAGCTAAATCACCTGCTATCTGGGATCAAAAAACAAAATCACAACAAATGCAATTTAAAGATCTAGTTTGTTTTATTTGTGATTCTAGAATCACATACAATCTCATTCTGTAAAATAAAATAAGTGCTCCAGTGAGCTGAGCAAAGGAGCTTGGCTTTATAGACAGACAAGGGCTGAAGAAAGCAGAAACAGAGCAAAAAGTGGAATGGTCATTTCAAAGTTACTTTTCTTGTAAAGGTTGAAGTAGAGGTGACTTCTTTATCATGCAGCTAAAACTGGCCTATTTGGAAAACTGGCTATTATCTCTTTCTCTCTCCTGATTTCCCAGATAAACGTGTTGGTTTCAGCTTGGTGGAACTTCAGCATGAGTGACTGCATTTTGGTTTGGTCTGTTGGGCCTAAAGCAAAAGCTCAGTCCAAACCAATGCCCTTCTATACATTTTATTTAATAGGACTTTAATAGAATATGTTTGCTGATTTCTGATCTAGAACAATAAATAAAAATATTACTTTCTCCTTTGATATTTAGTCAAAACATCATTCAAATACCATGAGATAAATCACGTAGATACCCTCAATGATTTTAGCAGCTGAGAAGTAGAAAGAACTACCTTTATCAGATCATTTATCTTGAGTTTTAAAATTTCCTCCCTTCAAAAACTCCTCTAATGGCCTTATATTGCCCACTTGGATTTAATCCAAACTCTTCAGCATGAAATACAAGGAAGGAATCTTCATAACGTGACTATAGGCACTATTTCCTTTGTCACCTTGGTTCTTCTACATTCTAGTTCAGTGGTTCTCACATGTATAACTGTAACTAAAACAAAACAACAGCCACAACAACAACAAAAAACAAAGAGCCACTTATGGGGCATGTTTGAAATGCAGATTATCAAATCCTACTCCTGGAACTCCTGCCTCACTCTCATAATACTTTCACTCGAGCTTGATCTCATGGAAATGTGTACATATTTATTATCATTTATCTCTGTACATTATTGTAATTTATTGCCTGCCAACTTCATGGAGTCCAGTGAATTCCCTGAAGGCAAGAAGAGTCTCAGCCATCTTTATACCCAAGGCATAGTGCCTTGCACATAATTAACTTGAGATGAATATTGAATTATATGTGTGAATGACTAAAACAATCATTTGAAATAGGTTTTATTTGAAATAGATTTTATGTGAAATTATTTACATAAATTTTATTACATTGTAGATGTTGCTAACTTAACTAGATAAGCTCTTTTACATTTGTTATATGAAATACATTTACTTCTAAAAAAGACTTAGCGACAAAAGACACCATTAAAAGAGTGAAAAGAGAAGCCACAGACTGCGAAAATCTATTCCTGATTACATATATCTGACAAAGGATTCATAATAAGGATGTATTAAGAGCTCCTACAATTCAATAAGAAAAAGACAAACCACCTAATTAACATAATAAGCAGGAGATTTAAAAAGGCACTTCACAAAAGAGGACGTCCATATGGCGTCCAAAAATGTTAAAAGGGACTTGACATCCTTAGTCATCAAGGAAATGCAAATTAAAACCATTATGAGATTGCACTACATATCCACTAGAATGACAGAGTTGGCAGGAATGTGGAGCAACTGGAACTCTCATGCATTGCTAGTGGGTGTGTAAATGGGCATAACTATTTTAGAAAACTCTTTGGCAATATCTATGAATTCTAATACACATCTACTCTATAATCCAGTAATCTCATTCCTCGGGATACATCAAAGAGCAATAAAAGCATTTGTTCTTTAAGATGCATGTAAAATAATATGCATAGCAGCTTTATAATCCCAAATGGGAAACAACCCAAAAGTCCATCAACAGGACAATGGACAAAAAAATTTGGAATATTCATACAAACGGAATACTACCTATCAATGAAAAGAATAAATTTCTAATATATACAACAGGAATGAATCTCAGAAGTATAATGTTGAGTAAAAGAAGCCAAAAATAATCAGACTCAGTGACTTACACCTGTAATCCCAGCACTTTGGGAGGCTGAAGTGGGCAGATCACTTGAGGTCAGGATTTACAGACCAGTCTGCCTGACATGATAAAACCCCATCTCTACTAGAAATATTAAAAAAACTAGCTGGCTGTGGTGGTGCATGCCTGTAATACCAGCTACTCTGGAGGCTGAGGCAGGAGAATCACTTAAACTCAGGAAGTGGAGGTTGCAGTGAGCCAAGATCGTGCCACTGCACTCCAGCTGAGGTGACAAAGTGAAACTCTGTCTCAAACAACAACAAAAAGGCCAGAAATGAGTACATTCTGTGTGATTCCATTTTAGGATAATGTCAGAATAATGATTATTTTTGGGGAGGTATTGACTATAGGAAGGGACTGCCAGGAAGCTTTGAGGAAGCTGGAAATATTTTATATTTTGATTTGGGTGATTTCCCAGTGGGTACGTATGCAAAAAGTCATCAAGCTATATACTTAAGATTGGTGTACTTTATTATACATATGTTAAATTTCAATTAATAAAGTTAAGAAAAATGGCTCAGGCATGGTGGCTTATACCTGTAATCTCAACACTTTGGGAGGCTGAGTGGGAGTATCACTTCAGCCCAGGCATTCGAGACCAGTTTGGGCAACATAGCAAGACCCCATCTCTAAAAGAAAAAAATGTATATTCAAAGAAATTTAAGAAAAAGAATCCGGGACTGCTCACATCACATCTCTGTGTTACCAATTGAAGGGCTATAGATGGCATAGCCCTAGGATTTGTTAGTCACTTAAATCAACTTCTCTCCAGTCAGTGTCAGTTTATCTGTAAATAAGGATTACAATAGTATTTTCTTCATATGCTTGCTGTAAAGATAAAATAAATAAACACAGAACAACAAACTCAGAACAGAGCTTTGGATATAGTGATATGTAAGTATTAGTTATTACTATGACATGCTCATGCTAAAATTTTTACAGTACCACAAAATATACCTGGCTGGTAGTTATCTTTTTAAACAATTTTTAACCTAATGGCCAATCAACATTTTTAAACATGATATGGTTTCTCCTTGCAATCTGATTTTCTTTTTTTTTTTTTTTTTTTGAGACAGAGTCTCACTCTGCCGTTCAGGCTGGAGTGCAGTGATGTGATCTCAGGAAACTGCAACCTCTGCCTCCTAGGTTCAAGTGATTCTCCTGACACAGACTCCTGAGTAGCTAGAACCACAGGTATGTAACACCACACCTGGCTAATTTTTGTATTTTTAGCAGAGACAAGGTTTCATCATATTGGCCAGGCTGGTCTCAAACTCCTGACCTCATGATCCACTTGCCTTGGCCTCCCAAAGTGCTGGGATTATAGGTGTGAGCCACTGTGCCTGGCACCTGATTTTCTTTGCTTTACTTCTTTTTTTTTTTTTTTTTTTGGAGACAGGGTCTTGCTCTGTTGCCCAGGCTAGTGTGTGCCGTGGCACAATCAAAGCTCATTGGAACCTTGGACTCCTGGGCTCAAGCAATCCTCCTTCCTCAGCCTCTGGAGTAGCTGGAACAACAGGTGTGGACCACCACCCTGCCTGAGTAATTTTTGTTTTTTTTTTGTAGAGATTAAGTCTTGTTATGTTGTCTTGGTTAGTCTCAAACTTCTGGCTTCAAGTGATCACTCTGCCTCGGCCTCCCAAAGTGCTGAAATTATAGGCATGAGCCACAATGCCCAGTGATTTTATTTTTTTAAAAAAGTATATATACAAAAAATATCCAATGGAAAAAAGTTAAAAAAGCTTTACCCATAATCCACCATAAAATTTAATGAAATAGCATCTACAAAACTATCAAATGGAACCAAAAAAGTGAGCCAACTAAACGAATTTAAACTTTTTTTAGACTTTATAAAATAAGTATCACTTCTCAGCTTTTTAGCTAAGATCAAATGTAAAATAATAAGTTAGTGTGTTGTTAGGTGCAGTGTCTTGTGCCTGTAATCCCAGCATTTTGGGATGCTTAGGCAGGAGAACTGTTTGAGATCAGGAATTTGAGACCAGCCTGGGCAACATGGTGAGAACTTGCCTCTACAAAAAATATTTAAAAATTAGCCAGGTGTGGTGGTACACACCTGTAGTCTCAGCTACTTGGGAAGCTGAGGCAGGAGGATTGCTTGAGCCTGGGAGGTTGAGGTTGCAGTGAGCCATGATCACGCCACTGCACTCCAGCCTGGGCAATAGAGTGAGACCTTGTCTCAAAAACTAAAACTGAAACTAAAATAAAAAAATAATAAGTAAATGTCCCTCACTTTCCCCTTCACTCTTCAGAGGTAACTACTTTTACAAGATTAAATGTTTGAATTTAGTTTTCAGAAAAGAAACATTCTGCTCTGTGTACATACGGTTGGTCTGAAGATGATAAATAGCAGGCAATCAGTACACACAAGCTAAGGACCAATTAAATATAGGTCTCTGATGGAGAAGATGCCTTGCAATATATTCTCTTCTTGATGGAGTCACAAGTTGCTCCTTTGTCCTTTGCCAAAACCAGCACCTTTAGTATCACTGTTGCAGGCACCAAAACATTTGGTAAAATAAGTACTGGGGATGCACAATCACAGACTCACAGCTGAGGCTTTGTCTTTTCTCAAATAAACATAATCCAAACAATGAGACAGTGTCTGAGGGTCAAGGGGGTGGGAGGAGATGGAGGGGTTAGTCAAATTCTTTTTCTGGACTGTGTAGGTGCTACATTTATAAAGCTCCCCCCTTTACTATTTTCTCCTTTTCTTGAATAGCTTCCAAGTGACACTTGATGCTCTTCCTTCTAGTGTGGCTTACACTGAGGGTCCAGTGAGCCCCAAAGCAAGGAACTTGCCCAAGGCCTCTCTCTGTATCTGGGGGTGGGAAGAGTTGGAGGGCTTCTGGAGTCTGTGGCCTTTGTCCTCAGTATCAAGGGTCCCAGTTTTTCTCTTTGAGAATTATTTGATTCTTTCATTTAATCCTCACAAATAATGTTTCTAGGCTATTTAGATTGGATTTGGGGTGTGCTTAGGGTCTCGTATATCTTCTTAACTTTTAAAATACATGATAAAAATTTTTACTTTCATTTTATTTTTTTACATTTATTTTATTTTGATGTCTTCTTCTCCATCTTTATTCATCACACCTCTATTCTAGACACTTGTGCTAGCATCCTGTCTTATCCCCTTCTCAAATCCCTTTATTGGTTTCTTTCATTCATTTATTCAACAGTTATGTTGTTGGATACTTACCATTACCAGGTACTGCTCTAGGTTTGGGGATAAGCAGTGAAAAAGAGTGGGTTCCTGACATCATGGCTCTTATATTCTAATTGAGAGCAGAAGATGCACAAACAAATTCGTGACACAAAAAAATCATGTCATGGAGTAAAAGGCATCATTAAGAAAATGACAGTAGTGCAAATGGATGGAGAATGCTATGTCAGGGTTAGTGTAGTTATTTTAAGTACGCTGGTGTGGGAAGCCCTCTCCAGGGTAATGACATTCCTTTTGACAACTTTACTTTCTTCTCAAGTCTTTCAAGGTGTTGGTGTCTCGTTTCTGAGTCTCTCCTATATCTTATGTCAACACATCCTGCACTGCCTCCCTTTGCATGCCATCCTACTATTTTTTCTTTTTTTTTTGAGATGGAATCTTGCTCTGTCGCCAGGCTGGAATTCAGTGGCGCAATCTTGGCTCACTGCAACCTCCGCCTCCTGGGTTCAAGTGATTCTTCTGCCTCAGCCTCCCAAGTAGCTGGGACCACAGGTGCATGCCACCACGCCCAGCTAATTTGTTTGTATTTTTAGTAGAGACGGGGTTTCACCATGTGGCCAGGATGCTCTCGATCTCTTGACCTTGTGATCCGCCCACCTCGGCCTCCCAAAGTGCTGGGATTACAGGCGTTTGCCACCGCGCCCGGCCACCATCCTACTCTTTTATGCTTGTCCACACTCTGGACTTCTTCCTGATGATCCCATATTCTCTCCCAAATCACTTCCAAAGTTTCTTTGAACAGCTTAGCCTGGCCACAAAAACTTTGCTTGTGGGTGCTTAGCACATACTTTTCAGTGATTTTAAAAATATTATTGTGTGCCTTGGAAATTGGTATTTTAGAAATAATTCTACTATAAACCAGAGGTTTTCAGAGTTCTGATATTTAGGGGGTAACATACTCTACAAGGATATATTGAAAGGCTTTAAGGACTTTTAAGGGTCTCAACTCAGCCTTGTAAATGCTGCTTTTATTTATAAAAATATCAATTGAATAGAGCTTTGCCTTCATATACAGCCACTGTGGTGGCTATAAAATATCTACTTTACTCTGAGCAGCATACATTGAAATCTGGAGTGGAAATGACGCTTAAAAAAAAATAACATCCATTTTTAGTGTGACTCACATTTTGAATGAAACCCAGACCACCTGTTGTTTATTCCCTACCATTTGGAACTCTACCTTCATTTCTGGGTTTCTTCCAGAGGACATGGAACGGATTTGCACATAGTCTTCCATTAAATAAAAAAATCCAAAAGTGGAGTGGGCCCTGGGAATTTCATCAAACTATATGCAAAGGCTGAATTTCTGCATTACTTGGCCAGGCCCTTTGGACTGTATACCATCTATAGCATGTGCCAGTGCTTAACATAATACCTGGACTATAATTGTGTTTGAATGTATCAATAGATAAAGAGGGAAGGCCCTTGTCTCGTAATTAAATATTCACAAACTCTTCAAAACACTTTGATTCTGTTACATATATCATTTGGAAACTGCCTATGTCAGCTTTTTGGATGCTTTTATTTTAATAATGCAAAGTAGTTTTTATTAGAACAGTAAACAGGAAACTGTATTATCTGCACAGACTCAGTGGCCTACAAAAAGAGGACTTTGCACTCTAATTAAGAACAAAGCACCCAATTACATCAGATTGAACTTCAGAATCACCTCTTTGTTTTTGTTTCATCTCATAATGCTGAACAAGGAATCAGAGGGAATGGGTCAGGCAAGGGAGCTATTTGAGTTTAATTAAAGGATTGCGCCTCATGGCCGCTTTAGGGGCCCGTCAGGTTAAGCAGAAGGATGGTAGCATTGAGGAGGTTGAGAAGCTAGTTGCCGGTTTTGCAGGCTCTGAGATTTCACTCTGTCAGTTTGCCAAGGAATGAGCTGTCAGGCTCTGTCTACTTTACAGCTTCTCCCCTGGGTCTGTGCCTTCTGATTCTAGCTTCAGGCTTAGCCTCACCCAGACTCTATGGCACATCTAGCCCCATCATTTAAGAACTTGTTAGAAATGGAGAATCTCAAGCCCCACCCAAACTTTCTGAGTCAGAATCTCCATTTTAGCAAGATCACGTGTCTACATATTATAGCTTTGGCAAGTACGATTCCATGGGGCTCTAGCCCAGCACAAAACAGCATGGTTATCAAACTCTAGTGAGCTTCAAAATTATGGACAAGTATAATAAAATGAAAAGTCGTAGTCTCATACTCCAGGGATTTTGATCCAGAGAGTCTAAAATGAGGCTTTGGAGTCTGCCTTTTCCTGGGTGTATGCTGCTGGTCTAGTTCCAACAGTTGGATTTCTGCATGCTTGTGTGTCTTTATCTCAGTTCTATTAATTGGCACCATTGTGTCTTGTTCTCTGCTCGAAAAACTGTTTTCAGGGTTGGTTTCAGAATTTCTATGCAGAAAGATCTTAGTACAGGAATCTAGTTTGATAAAGGAAGCTTGAAGCTGTTTTTATCTAACACATTATTTTTCTTTTGAGACAGGGTATCACTCTGTCACCCAGGCTGGAGTGCAGTGGCATGATCTTGGATCACTGCAAACTCCACCTCCTAGGTTCAAGCAATCCTCCCACCTTGGCCTCCCGAGTACTTACAACTACAGGTGCACACCACCACACCAGGATAATTTTTGTATTTTTTGTGGAGACAAGGTTTCACCATGTTGACCAGGCTGGCCTCACAGTCCTAGTCTCAAGTAATCCTCTGGCCTCGGCCGCTCAAATTGCTGAGTTTGTGGACCACTGCACCCAGTCTTGAGTAAAAGTCTTAACAAAATGTGTCCATTAGGGAGAGTAATTTTCCAGCGGAAATGGGGGTGCTGGAATAGATGCCTGGAAGCCAGAAAGCAATTGATGTCTGCTGTACCTAGTTAGGTGGATAGAGTCTTGCTGCTCTTGCTGCCCAATGGTGCACTTCTATTGCTTTTCAGATTTTATGGAAATGCCTTCGGAAATATAGCAGTGAGAAAATTATGACAGTGAAAGAAATCTGACCTAACTTTATCTTGCCTTTAACCTCCAAACTTCCCTTGGTCATTCCTGGGCATGGCCCAAGTTAACTTTGGGAGAAATGTAGTTTATTGTATAACCTTAAAGTAAGGATGATAATATCCCTTCCTCAAACTACCCTCTCCTTATTTGGGGACTAATATTGCCTTTGTAAAAATAATGAAAGGCCACAAGATTAGGATTATGAGAGGGACCTGAATTCTGCTAAGATGTAGGCATAGTTAAATGAGAA